AGAGAGAGAGAGAGAGAGAGAGAGAGAGAGAGAGAGAGAGAGAGAGAGCGCGTGCACGTGTGCGCGTTTTGAAGGTGGAGGAAGGTCTGAATATTCACGTAATAATGGAAGTCGACATGCCAAGTAAAACATGGTCTTCCTTTTTAAAGTCTTTATCAGCTCTCCTTCTAAGCTGCATTCGTTCGGGTGTGTATTTACTCCTTGTCGTTTTAGGGACTTTTAAGGATTATGGAATGCTATAGAAATTGGTCACCTTAATATTGTTGAGGGTTTTTTCTATATTTCGTGTTTTATATTTTGATTTTAAGGCGTTTGTTTCCTCCCTGGAGGTGAACCAGGGCAAGCCACGTCGTTTATGATTTCAGATTGCTCGTTGCAATTGCTATAATAGACTTTGCTTTCCCGAAATAGTCAGACTAGAGTAATCATGAGTGCTTGACTACAGAGAAATGCGGATCTCCATGTGTTTTCATTTCTTGTCTGAAGATTCCTGTGAAAGCCCTAGAGTGCTCTGACGGGCCCCCTCCCACTTCTTCTTAATTTAAGAAATGCAGCATTTGGAGCCTTAATGATATTTCTTTCAAATCAACTGATTTAAGTACATATTCGTGCGTTTATTTGGTTTTACTGTCATAATAGAAAGTCCTCCTTCCACTTCTCCTCAGAAAGAAATGTACGATTTTTCTTTTCTTTTCTTTTATCATTGGTTTGCTGCAAAACTGAAAGCAAATGTTTTTGTTTTGCTCCATGGCTTAACGAACTTCAGTTCTTTGTTTGAAACCCAATCTTCCGACATGCTGGGGAATTTATTGAGCCATTCCTTGGATATGACTGAGTTTTCTAGACTGTTCCTTTCTAGCCATTTTAGGATCCCCCCCCCCGGGTCCCCACCAACCCCCTAAACTAGGTAGCTGTCTCACAATAGTTTCCCCTTTTATTTTACGCTCCATTTTTAAAATTAGATGGCTCCTTTTTCATTTATTGTGTCTCGAGACATGTCAAAAGAGTCTTGTTTTTCTTCTTCTTTCTTGTCACGTTAACTTCTCATTTGACTTGTAGCCTCCAGCGATGTCAGATAAACGCAGACGATTTTGTGTCCACTTCACGGCTGTGATTCTCCTCCTCTTTTTTTTGGTCTCTGTCTGTCTGTCTCTTCCTGATTCTCTCTCTCTCTCTCTCTCTCTCTCTCTCTCTCTCTCTCTCTCTCTCTCCATGTACCGTCCCTCCTTCCTTTCCTCCTGATTCTCTCTCCTCTCTCTCTCTCTCTCCCTCTCTCTCACTCCCTCTCACTCCCTCTCTCTCCCTCTCTCCCTCTCTCTCTCTCTTTCTCTCTCCATGTACTGTCCCTCCTGACTCTCTCTCTCTCTCTCTCTCTCTC